TTGTCGACACGTTTATGTGGGTCAGACTTGTCAAACTTTGCATGATAGATGGAAGGAGCACGTCATAGCTACTGAAAATCCCATCTTTAGGGTTCATAGACGACTTGGAAAGCAAGGGGCGCATCGATATACTGTGATCCCTATTCAGCTATGTATGAAAAACAAATTAAAGCGGATTGAGGATAAGGTCATTCGGGACGAAAATCCTGGTTTGGCGCACCCACGCAAAGTCAAAAAGCAGAACGAACGTCCTTTGTCTCTCCTGTTAAATGAACCCCTATCTCTTTTTCTCACAATTTCTCAGATGACAAGACTTTTGATTTGCGAAAATTACTTAATCAGTCCGTGGGGAAGCATCACCGAAAGAAAATTGTGAGTTTTCGGTGGAATGTATGTATTACCTTATGGAGACTAATTAAGCTTGTTTTTGGTCAATCAAAATTCAGGGATGGGGAGGTGCGATGTTGGCTATTGAAAGATATGAAAGAGGTCTTGAACAAGGTGGGTCATGAGAAATGACGTGCTTAATTAAAACCAAAACCGAATCTGATCGAAGAAAAACTGAAGTACTAGCCCTATTAAGAGCACCATGAAAGAGAAAAATTATCGTAGAAGAAAAAAAAACCGAGGAATTGTTTGCGATGTTAAAATGCATGAAGAGTATTAACACAAAAAGGGGCCGACAAATTGCTCAGAGCCTCGTTTTCATAGAACTGAGGAAGAGGTTGGGGATAAATTGCGGACAAGGAATTGTGGTTAAACTACCCTTTAGTTGGAGCATTGACAAGAATATTGTCAGAAGAGAAGTTTGTGAATTGATTGCAGAGAAAGTGCACTCTCCAGGATTATCTGGTTTGATACAATGCAAGCTATGAACAGTCTGGACGAAAGCTAAGTCTGTCGATGATTTGTCGCATAACCATATGACCTATGCATCTAACTTTGTTGCTGAATGTGTATGTCACAGGTACCAGCTGCCCAGAACTGATGAGCACGTTCGGGTCAGACCGAATGAAATTCCCGAAATCGAACCCTTTGTTCACAATTTGAGAAACGCCACTTTTTCTGTACGAATCATGAATTTGCAGGAAATAAACAAAAATTATCAGAATATCTTTCATTTGCTCGAAAAAATTGGTGTTAATGATGTTTTCATGATATCCCCACTGAAACTCGTAAGAACTACTCCTTCCAAAAACTAATATAGCAGAATTCTTGAAAACAAAATTGTCTGTTATTGAATGCTATGTCGAAATTATCTCCATGCATAAATTTAAGAACTCAGAAAACATCTGGGATGAGCACTCTGCACCACGATATATGGTGACGAGGTCCTTCTTATCATTTAGACGAAAAGAACAGAAAATTGCTAATTTGATGGGTACCCTATATCGTATTAATTCAAACATCAACTGCCCAATGCTCCTACCCCTCTCTGTTATGATGTTCCATAGAGAACAGAAAAGGGTCGGGTTCCCGAACTCATTAATCCTCGCTGCCCTGGACAAAGTGTTGGGGAAACTGGGAGGATGCTGACCTCAGATGGCTCAGAAACTCACCTTGTGCTATGGAGGCTGGGAATAATAATATGCAAAAAAAATATATATAGAACCAAAAGCCTTGGATATTGAGGACCTTAGAATAAGTTGGATACCGTGTTGCATGTTTTTTGTTTCGCCGTCTCTCTTTTTTAAAAAAAAAAAAAAACACACGAAGATTACGAATGAGCCAAAAAATTGAACACCTCGTACATGTAACGTGTGATAGCTCTTCCGATTCTGGACTAGTTTTGTTTCGTTCATAACAGATGATCGGCCAACTGACGGATCCACACTTACTTACCGAAAACCTCAGATATCGAGGACCCCTTTCTGGACCAAATTTGTCTCGTTCAGGACAGAACTGACAGATCTCCACGAACGGCGATGTACCTAGACAATTGTTGTGGCTATCACCTCGAGAGCACGTTTTTTTTCAAAGCTACACGGGTTTTCAGTTTTTTGCTACAATATTCTCTGGAAAAATGTTTATTTCCTATTTTTGATTTTTTTTTTTAGTATTGTGGGGACAACATGGCCCATATCGTTCCCATGGAACGAAAGACTATGCTGTATTTTTTGGAGTACAAGTAAGAAAGAGTGTTCGCTCAAAAGCAGACTGAGCAACATTGAGGTACAAGGTTTGCTGTATGGTGGAGACCATGTTGGTTACACTGTGCTGAGGCAATGTAGTGTGTTGTGAGAGTAATCCTCAACTACATTTTTTTTAATATTATTCAAGTCTGGTACTGACACACGGTACCAAAGTGAATGAACACACTGCATGGTCCCACAGTCCAAACAGACAAATAGTAGCCAAATAGCCATGCCTGTAGGTCAGGGCAAGACCCACAACAAGAGGTCCCTGCAAGCATAGTTTTTTTTTTTTTTTTTTTTTTTTTTTAAGACTCTGCAGGTAATACTAGTTGAGGTGATACAAGCATCCCTAGCTAGTATACCTATGCATGTCACTCCATCTATTGGTGGGGAGCTGGACCTGCTGGAAACCGGGTCTAGTGTCCCATTGGATACATTGGTGAAAGAGTTGATAACTGAGAACTGGGCCTCTTCCCCCAAACGTAGGAGCCAGATGATCTTAAAACACTAGCCCTATTACTCATCCAGACCACACTATCTCCTTTTTCTCCTTACCCGTCATCTCATCTTCCAAATAGATAAAGCCTCTTCACCCATTTGTGGGCGCCAAATTTTCTCATATCCACTTAGCTTGTATTCCACCCTGATCAGATGAGTCCTCAATCATTTCCGAACCATGACCATGGAACTAAACAACCTGGTTGTGGAGGAGATGGGTCTGGGAATTTTGATAAGTGTCTCATTGGGATACTGGATCTACCACCGTCCATTCCTCTAACTTCACGTAGTATGTATTACTTACACCTTTAGCCTCCTTGCTCTCACTCTCTTTCCTCTTGACCTGGCTAATTTTCCTCCCTTGTGGGCCCCCAAGCCAATTGCGACTGAATTTTTGAATATGGTTCCGGATTTCACTATCGGAGTGTAAGTGTTGAATTTAATCCTTGACATTATCCCACTGTGTCCTAATCACTGTTTGAATTTGTTGTTTGATTGAGTCTGTGAATTCAGGACCATCCAACCTTGGCCCTTCTATCTCATAGGTACATCTTCTCCTCCATATGGCCCAGAGTACCCCTCTTCTTCCAATCGTGGATAGGTTACGCGTGAACTCATCGTATGGTTCTTGTACCCAGAATTCGTTCTACTAATGAACCAATCATTGGTAGGCAGACAACTGTGTTCAATTTGCCATTGTAAGGAGGCTACTTTGGTAGGTTTAAATTTCATGTTCCGGAACCATTTAATTGGCTTAAGGACTTCTTTGTTTAAATTTAATTGCTTCATCCATCTGTCCTCTACCCTGTCTTCTCTAATACCCTAAAGCAAAAAGTGGGTCTCACGTGATGGGCCCACGTGAGACTCCGCAGGCTGTCGCACGGTTCCGTCGGAGCGGGGCGGTAGCATGGCGGGCTGGTTGGGTGGATTGTCGGGAGTTGTTCGGCGGAGCGGGCCGGTAGAGTGGTAGGCTGGTTGGGTGGACCGAGGAAGCAAAGCGCCGATCGCTGTCGTGCAGTGCGGTGCGGTGCGTGGGCCTGCGGTTTTTCTTTTTTTTACCCGTTGCGCGGGGCGCGGGGGACCAAACTATGTTATCGGGGCGTTGCTTTGCGGTGATCAACGGTGTGTGTGTGTGTGTGTGTGTGTGTGTGTGTGTGTGTGTGTGTG